CCCCCCCCAGCTGTACACACTGGCTCAGGATGATTCTGTGTGTGCTCAGCTCACTTTCCCACACCCTGCAGTAAGTGTAGGCTGAGCCTTGTCCTTCTTGCCATGCTTGATACTCAGCCCCATGCCAGGGACGTGCCTTCTTAATGGTAACAGCATACACCTTACAGTCTCAGTCTTTTCCAAGTTCATTGAGTTCTGTGTTGGTTTCTTCCCCCCCACCCCCTGTAATGACCCTTGATAAACTCTCCTATAGGAATAACATTTAATCTCTGAAATACTAATTATTATTTTTCTTCTCAGGATGAACTTGACCTGACAGACAAACACAGGGAAGCCATGTTTGCACTTCCAGCTGAGAAGAAATGGCAAATATACTGTAGCAAGAAAAAGGTAAGAAATTCATTGTGTTTATGGTTAACTGGAAAATTATCATTGTTGATTCCCTTTGCTCTCTCGTTTCGCCGCCAGAATTCAGACAGTTCTTTATAATGTACAGACCAGATCGTGGCCTTGTTGCTACATGGGGCAATGTGGTGATGCCTCAGATGTCGTTTTTATCAACACTTCATTGGACACCTTCCCATATCTCCTATACCTGTACCTGCTATTCATAGTCTTGTTACAACTGAGACCCAAAATAATATTGGCTTACACCAAGATCGAATTTTCTCTCTGTTTTTTACATAATAGTTGGTATCTCGGTAGGTTAGGACTAGTATTCTGGGGTCTCACTCCTCTGTTCTTACCTTCTAGCAGCTTTCCGTTTCAGCATCTCTAAGGTGTGGCCTCATCCTCATGGTCCAAAGTGGCTGTCTGACCATTTCATATTCCAAACTGAGGATGTGGGAAAGGGAAAGAAGGCACAAACTTACCCACCTCCCCTCTTAGGGACATGTCCTAGGAGTCATCCACCTGAATTCCCTCACAGCCCACTGTTATATGGCCCCAGCTGCAAGGAAATCGATTTTTATTCTGGGTTCTGTTACCTTTGGAGAAGGGGAGAATGGATATCCTGTCCCATGGTGCTAAGCATCACCGCATGGACTGTATCTCCTGCAATAAAGTTCACTCTGCTATCTTTTACCCTGTGGCAAATTCTGAGACCATGTCCACCCCATTTTTGGAACCAATCAAGTTCATGACCATCTCTTACCACTTTTTTCTTGTGTTCAGTAGAAACATGAATCACGATGGGGTAAGCAGGGAAGGGCAGGCTAGCACCTAGGAGAAATGGTACCTCTCTCTCTAACAGGCAGTGGACCCTCGAGTTCCTCACTCTTGCCACAAGGAAATAAGAACAAACTATAGCAATCCAATTTCTTTTCAAGACACAATATCAGTCCGAGAAACTTTTCCTATGTGACTAGCGTGCATTGTGAGACCTCCATTTATCCATGTGAGTGTCTCTGAGCACCACTGCCCCTTTGCTGCCTTGTCTGATTGCTGTGCTGTCCTTCCAGGAACATGTCTGCAGTAGTGAGCCTGCGTGTGCCCCTCTCCAGCCAGACTTTGTGCCTCTGGGGGCGAGGCACCATGTCTTAGCTCATCTTTGTAACTCCAGCATCGGACACGTTGAAATGAGTGCATGATGAGTGAACCACTAAGTTGTCACGAGTGTTATGCTGAACTGTCAAAAAAAAAAATTTTAAAGCACAATTAGTTTTCCACCTGAGCAGTTACAATTGCTACAACTATGTGGGGGTTTGGTTCCAGGGGCCTTTGCTGAGAGACGTATCCAGCTCTAACCTCTCCGTATGGTTTTCTGAGCTGCTACCAGATCAGACCAAGTTGTAGACCTAAGGATTCCGAATCTAGTAGTAACCAGGAAGATGTGTTTGTGAATGATAGTGTCTTCTTCTTTTTTCTCTTTGTACTGTCTCTCTCTTATTGAACTGATTGTCATAGCTCAAAGACCAGGTATAATAAATACACTGGGAAAGCATTTTGAAATTAAAATATGTTCAGTTCTGAAAATGACGGTATTGTATGGTCTTTGAAAGCAAGGGAACTTTCACACAGCCATCTCAGGACCTGGCCCCTGGAACCAAGAAGGAAAAATCTTCAAGTTCCTTATGTGCACAGAGGACATGTCTGTCTATTTTGGCTCATCCGAGCGCAGAGTTTTTTTCTCAAAATTAGGAAACAATATGAAGTGGGGACTGAGAAGATACAGTGGAGGGAAGGAAAGGGCAGGAAAATGGGAGCAGCTTACTGACGGGAAAGTTTTCTTCTTTCCCAGATTTTATTACACCCTTGACAGCAATTGTAAGTTAATCATGGAAACTGCTGCCCCTTAGACTAGAAAAGGCAAATCCTGGAGGACAGTAATGACCTTGGACTTGGCAGCTGTTGCTCATTTTTCAATTTCCAGGCCTATCAAATCCCCTTGCAAACCCTGCCTCATGTGCACATGGTGAGGTTGCCTTTTTGTAGGAGGATAGATAGGGATGTGGCCCCTGACCTCTGAGTCCCATTTCTTGATGGATGGGCCCTTCCTACTAGTACCTGGCCAGACTGCACAGACCTTTGGAAATGTGGTTCTCCTGCAGGCTTCAGCCCCGCAGCCTGGATTCCTTACATGACAGCCAAGTTGTGGCTGAGTGGGAAAGCCACTTGAAGTCTTTGGGGATTCCCGTGGGGTTATAGATCTGCCTCACTTTAAAATGTAGGATAGGAGCCTGGGTGGCTCAATGGGTTAAGTGTCTGACTTGACGTCAGGTCGTGATCTCCTGGTTTGTAAGTTCGAGCCCCACATCAGGCTCCACGCTGACAGTGAGGAGCCTGCTTGGGATTCTCTCCCTCCCTCCCTCCCCCCCCCCACCCCGCCCCTCCCCAACTCGTGCATTCACACGTGCTCTCTCTCTGTCTCTGTCTTTCTCTCTCTCAAAATAAATAAATAAATAAACTTTTAAAAATGGTTTTAAAAAAATGGATGGGAGTGTTGCTAAATGTAGGTTTTTCTTGATTAGAGCTTCTCAAACTGTTAAGCGTGCTATGTGATGGATCTGAAACTGACCTTTCTGGGGCACTGTAATAAATAGGGAAATAATACAATGAGTAAGAGAACACAAAAATTTAAGTGTGAAAAGGGCATAACGTTTACCTCTCTTCATATAATGCGATTCCCTAACGGACAGTTTGCTCATTCTCAAAGTGGAGCCCATGGTGGCCGTCCGTATTACTACGAACAGATTGTTTTCCTTGGACCGTATCTTTGGTCGCCTTTTCAAATCAGGCTTGTCACCAGCAAGTCAAACCACATCTATTTCTCAGGCCAAGGGAAAGCTACATACTCACGGCTTTTTAGATTTTCCATCTCTCAAGATTAGAACCCAGCGCATTACAGACATTCTCACACATAGTGAAACCATAGAGTAAGGGCCCACGAAAGCCAACAGAAACAGACACATGAGTTGGTGAAAAGCAGGCTTTCTGTGTAAAAGTGCACAGCAGTTGTGGAGGCAAACGAGACTGGGAACTGAGGATGGGGCCAGGCCTCGCTCAGCCAAGTGGCTCTTTTCCACCCAATAGTGACTTGAGTCCCAACAGCGGCTGTCTGCTTATCAGGCTCCATGTTCATTTCTCACACTCGTCTCTATCTAAGTCTCCGGTTGAAAACCCATTTCCAGAGCCAAAATGAAAGCAGCAAAGTATTTCTGGGGCTGAAAGAATTGGAGAGAAATTAATTGGAGGCTTGCCTAATTGAGTAATCCGGGGGAGAGTAAGAGATGGATGTTGTGGCCTTGTTGAAAGTCCAAACAAATCTGTAAAAATGACGGGGCTGGTTGGGCAGCCGTGGTTTGTCATATGCAGCAGTCCACTGTCAAATTATTTTCACTTCTGTGAAGGGGCCAAAAAAAGGTCCTGTTGGTGGGGCTGGAGGTATTTTCGAATAGGAAATGTTTGTGGTTCTTATCTTTAAAGGTAATTCCCTTTTTAGTTCCAATCACAACATACTCTTTTGTTTAAGTGAGGTTTTTCCCAGTCTCTAGCCAGAAACTGCATCTGTTAACAATCTTTTGGATTTTAAACTGAAACTTTTTAAACAATGAACCATCTGACCACGAAAGGCATCTGGCCATGCTGTATTTGCTTATTGTTAACATGATTTTTAAACCCTGGGAAAAGCAAGGAGAGGGCTGCGGAGAGGAGAGAATAAAAGGGCGTGTGCCCCGTGTCACGGTGGCAGCGATCTTATCGGCACCGGCAGGAATCTTTAATTGCAGTTTTCCACGGGAGCGACTGCGCCAGTTGCCTCACTTAGCCAGTCCTTGTAAGTCTCCAAAAAATACCTGCTTCCCCTCCTGAAGCTTCAGAGTTTGCAAAGTAGACGAATGGCGCTGGACACTGTTAGCGGTAGTGTCATCAGGTATTTGAGGCGAAGATCAAGATTTGAGGAGTGTACGAATTTCCCTCCTTCTGTCTCCAATCTCTAAAGCCACGGCTTAAGTAAATGGCTTTGGATTCTCCATATTGCACTTCTGCATCTTTTCGGGTCTTCTGTGGAGGAGGTGGATTTTTACTGCACCGCTCGCTGAGTGTGTGTTTGACTGTAGTGCAAATAAATCCTTTAAGAACCTTGCCCGACCCGGCTGCAGCGGAGTTGTTGTGATTTGTGCAAAGTGCTGATCTGGTGCCAGGTACATTTTGGAGACCTCTAGGAAAAGTGGCAGAAAATTCAGCTGGTACTTTTCGTTCACTCCCGCCTTTTGGTTCGCATATCCTAATTGGATCGCTTCCCCACTCCTCCCCACAAAAAGCAATTCTCCTTTTGCCACACACCAAAAAAAAGATTGAAGTTGTGTTGTGTACAGTCGCCAGGGTGCAGTTTCAGTTCCTTGAGAGCGGAGGCCCTCTTGCGTTCAAAGGAACGTAGGCTGAAGCGCTGGAATTAAGACCAAAGGAACCACCAGTGTTCCGCACAGCTGTCAAACAAGCCAGGTATAAAACGAGGGGGCGAGATGATAGTTCGCCCTGTAGTTGTTTCCAGTATCCTACTGAGAGGCTCCTGTGGGAAGGCTGGGACGAGAAGCAGTGGTCGGGCACTGGACCTGGAAGACGTGAGAAGGAAGGGAAGCTAGATATCCCTCCTTGATGGTAGTTTAAATGTACAGTAGAGTGAGCTTTGGGTTTTCAGGCACTCACTGTGTTAGCTGTCAAGATTGGGGAGAGGGAGTCCGGAAAAGGGAGAAAACCAGATTTCAGTAAGTATGTTTCTAGACTTTTAAAGAAGTACTTGCGTTGGTTTCCTGCCATTGAGTTTTCACCTGATAATGGATTCCAGTTGGGATTTGTACTCCTCAGGGCTCAGGGGTTGAGGAAAGTAGCAGAAGTAGAAGTGAACAGAAATAAGATCGGGCTGTCTTTCCCCCTCTGCTTCTCTAAAGAAA